ATTTTTTATATTATATTGTAATTTTAATGGAAAGCAATTACGGACAGTTATTTTAATATATAATAAAATTAAACAATATAATTAATTATCATAGTATACGTTTTAGATATTTATTATTAAATAAACTATTAGTTGATTATATATTATATTTACTCAGATTATTATTAGAATAAATAATTTATTTACTTTCAATAATGAGTGTATGAAATACTATATAATTTTTCAGCAAATTATGCTTTAGTTAGTTAAAATACCTTATAAGTACATGAGTAATTTCTGTAATTATTTTTTCAAAGATTTTCTACAAGAATATTTTTAGCTATTACTCCCTTTATTCGTTAATAAAATTTGTCAATTTAATAATTTCTCATAGTTTTTTTTAATAAATTTTATTATTTTTCTAATTGTATTATTAATTGGTTAATCATATATGACAATTTAGCTCAAATAAAATGTTGTTCTATTATATGTGTGGTTGTTTTTGCATTATGTACTATATGCATAAAGTATAGAATTTTATCTTAATATCCGTAAAACATATACAGTATTTTAAATATTTTTTTTATACAATAACATGTATAAAAATTAGCAGTAAACCCTTTAAAGAATAAAAGTATATATAATAATTTTCAATCATTTATTTATTAAGTAATTGAATTTATTATAGAATTTATTTGAAATTAATTCAGTTATTTATATTAATTTTATTTTACTATTATGGTTTCAATGTTTTCTTAATAACGCAGAAATATTAATATGATTTCATTAGAGCAGTATGATATGCAATAATTAAAAATTATTACCTACTACTACTTTTTATAGACGGATAGAAAAAACCGATTTTCGGGTATTTTCACAAACAAGATTTTTAGATTAAAAGTAATAATATTTAAGTTAATACAAATTTTTTAAAAATCTGTTCATATAATTATTGTAATAGATATTTTTGTAAAAGTTGAGAAAAAAACTTATTAAATTTTTTCATGAAACAATTAGATGTACACACTTTGTATAATACTGTTAAATTAAAGCATTATAAATAAAAATAGCTAGTCGAATCAGTTTTTTCCTTATTATATGAACTACTCATTATTATTACGCATTATTCATTCATTTGAATAGAAAATAATATTGAATAATTAGTATAAGATCTTCATTCATTAATTGGAAAGGTATCATCTTATTATGAGATCAACATTTTCTAATTATAAAACCCAAAACTAGGATTAAGTGGTATAAACTTTAATTTAAGACATAAATAATAATATTAAATGATATTTAGAGAAAAGTGCAAATTTGGTGTAATTCACAATGAGTGCTATGTTCCTTATTTATATAATATATTTTAAGTAACCTTATTTAATATTGTAGATATATTGTGTACTTTAATAAAATAATTTAAAATATTGTTTATATAGTTGCAAAAGTTTGGTTAATAACTATATTTTACATTCTAAATATTTTACTTAATGTATGAATAAAAAATTTATCAGTTTTGAATATATTTTAACTCTGATAAAATATATTTTGAATTTCGCAATACTGAGAACATTCAAATGCTATAAATAATAAAATAGTATCTATAACGAAATAACATTTAATATTGATATTACAATATTTATTTAGCTAATAATTTTAATTTGATAATATGTTTTAATAGAATTTTTATTTTTAAAAATGTTTAAATTGGTTTTTAAAAAGGCATTGTATTTTTATATTATAAAACTAAAGATATTATTATAATTATGTTATTCTGAAAATAATTATGTTATTTAATGAATTATATTAATACTTTTATGTTTTTATGTATTTCAATTTATTAATAAGCATTATCGACATGTTTTGTTTGCGAGAACATTTGCTTTTTTTTCTTGAATCAAAGAAAAATATTTGTATTAGCAAGTATGGAACGAGTTAGCACTAAGTGAATTCTAGAAGAAGTGATGTAATGGCAAAACTTCCAAAAGGGATTATCGATGGAAAGTCGATAACGGTAAAAAAGATAAAATTAATTGTGAAAAGATAAATAAAAAATAAGTAGACTAAACCAATATACAGCATTTGCTAATAATAATATTCACTACAAATTTATCAATAGTTACGATATATATAGTTAATATACATCAGTATATATATATATATAGTGTTAATAGTGTCACTTGATAAATTATTTATTTAAATATATTAATTTTAATTCTAATTTTTATCCACTTTTATTGCTTAAGATTAAAATACAGCTAATTATTATAAAATTAACAAACCATACATATGTTATATACTTAAAGAATTGAATCATATTACTAGAAAATAACATTTTAATTTCTAAACAATCAAATTATATATAAATTATTTTATATAATATATATTCTTTTAAACTTAATCAATTAGTACAGAAATAAATTTGATAAATCCATAGATATATTTTTTCAAGAATTCCTTATTTAACTTAAAATTTTGAAAATTTTATTTGATGTATTGTTATTATTGTAAACATTAATTTTTTCATTGCAATTCTCAATATATATATATATATATATATATATATATATATATATTTTTTTTTAAATACTTCCTATCGCTTATATGAAGCAATATATCCAATATTAATAAGTATCAGTTCATAAAATATTATATATTTTCATACAAAATATAATAAAAAATTTGAGTTTCGCATCGAATCATTTTCGAATAATATAATAATCGATTGTATCATATAAAATAAATAGAAAAGTATACCAAGAGAAAATTTGAAAGTTTAGATTTAGATATATTTTAAATTATCATATAAAATTTCAATATTTAGTAAAAGAATTAACTATGCCAAGAGTACATAATAAATGTAAAAATAAGTGTGCATATATAACATATGCAAAAAATATTTAAACATACATAGCTTATTATTTGAATTTTTTGTCGATTAAAAATATAGTCAAGTTATTAAAATCCATGAAATATATATAAAACATATAGATGGATGGAAAAAAGGAAAAATAATACTTTGCGATCTATTCATATCATATATTAATATAGCCATTGAAACTATGCTAAATAATTTCACCAAATAATAGCTCGGCGGAAATGACTCAGTCATTCAAGCTAATTTAAAAAAGGTAGATTTAATGTAGATATTTTTAATATAATGATTTAATATCCATATAGCTTCTATAAGTTCTTTATATAATACGTTATATTCTTTTAATATTTTTAAAATAAAATTGAAAATTGAAATTGTCGTATAATTGAAAATAATATGAAAAATTATTAATATTCATTTTTAATTATTTTTTGTTTATACAAATACATTTATACACGTATATATATATATATATATATATATATTTCTAGAATATAAAAAAAAATTATGCTAAAAATAATTGTGTAAATAATTATGCTAATTAACACATTTAATATATTGGAAAAGAATGATAGTATATTATACATCTTATCACATTTCATTTGATTTTTTTCTATTGCAAATCAATTTTTTTTTAAGTAACATAATTTAAATTTCACTAAAATTAAATTTTTATTGAAAATTTTTAACTAATAATATTTATATTTATATATAATTCAATTCTTTTTTGGAACATATTTTGATGTGATTTCAGATAAAACCGGAAAGTGTTTTAGTACTTTTTTAAACAACATAGCACGTATTTTTAGAAGCTATGGTTATAGACACGTTACTGGCAAATCTAGAGAGTTTTAGCTATCACTGGCAATAAATACAGGATATTCTTTTATTTGGTAAATCATACGTTTCAACTTTTATGTAACTTTATAAATTATAAATATAATATTTATAAATATTTATAAATAATACATTGCGACTTATTTGATTTCAGTAAAATTATGTGTTTATTCTTTCAATAAAAAATGCTAAGAATATATTAAAAAATTCATTATATTGTACCCATATAAACTGATTTGTTATTTAAATATATTATATCATTAATTTAAGTCTTAAAAAAAAACTTTTTTAAATCAAATAGTAATCATCTTAATTTTATTAATTCACAAATTCACTAATATTTTGATATTATAAGGTACAAATTTTTTGATTAACTCGATTTTCTTAAAATTTTTTAATAATGGTTTGTAATATTTTGAAACAGGAATATATAAGAAAATAAACATACAAAATAGTGTTAATTGTTCACAATTTTTTTTATGTACATATCAATAAATTTGTAAGAAATTTTATTTTATTTTATAAAATACTTTTTCTTGGAGGTATTACATTATTCTAAATACAAAATTACTATTTTCATAAAATATATATATATATATATATATATATATATATATGAAGTTGTATAAAAATTAAGTTTTAAGAATAATGCTATAATAATTTAAAACATTTATTTATGCTATTTCACAATTTATTGGTAATTTGTATAAAGTATGTAAGTAGTACACAAATTTATATTATTAATAATGTTACTTTAATTTATATATCAACAGTACATTTGAAATATTCCGATATTCATTGGTATTATATACATGAAATAACATTGTTATATGAATATATGAAAAACTTTGCATAACTATATTTACATATAAAAACATTATTTATTGAATAGTTGAACATTAATTTGAGATTATAACTATTTCAACTTTTATTATTATCGATAATTAGCATAGTATATGTATATTCTACAAGAATGTAATTGACTTTAAATATATGATTTTTCAATTTTCGAAAATTTTAAGTGCAAAATTTATGCCTATGCTTTTCAAATAATTTAATTAGATAAAAATATTTAGTATTTCAATATTTCAGAATAATCTAAAAATAAAGTCAATCTACGATAGTTTAAACATACTTAAAGTTGATTAATTTATATATTCAACGTTATTAAATTATATTAAATAAACATATTTTTATATGTTATAAATATACCAAAGGTATGCTACATTGAGAATAATTTATATTGCATCAAATTTTAATATAAAAAAAAAATAAAACACTTTTTTCATAATTTTAAATATTATATTACCTGATTAATTTGATTGTTTTCATGAATCTTTGCTAAATTACCGATCTCCAGACTTTCCTCTAAAGTACTATTATCACTGGCGGTGATTCCAGATAGAAATATCTGAAAATAAATAATTTTATTTAGTTATTTTAAGTATAAAAAGTCTGTATGTAATTTATTAGTAAGAATAAAAAAAACCATTACCGAAGACATTTGATTTAAGAATGAATTATTTTAAATTAATATATATGCTTAACAAATATTGATTTTGTTCAATTGTTTACTACAAAAAGAAATATTACAATATAAATATGAAAGCTTTTATCAAGTGTTGTAAGGAACGATTTTTTTGTTTACTTTCGAACTAAACACTAAATAAAATAGTTTTCTGAAAAATTAGTATAAATAAATATAATTAAATCAATATAATTAAAGAATTTAAAAATTGATTATTCTCTAATACTATACTTTTTCATACAATTCTATATAAAATGTATAATATATACTGTCTATCTACATATATAATATCTATCCACACAAACGCACACAAACAAACGCACACAAACACACACACACACGCGCGCGCGCGCACACACACACATATATACATTAGTAAAATCAATTAAATATATAATCAATAGTAAAAATTAACGAAATAATCTCTTATGTAATTATATTTTAACAGTTATATTCTAACAATGACGTTTTTAGGTATTCTAAGTATTTATAAGTATGATTGAAATGATATATACTTTTCAGAATTTGTATCGTTAATTAAATTAATATTATGCATTTATAATCAATAATTAATATTTTATTTGAAAAGTAACATAGAAGGATGAATTAAGACTTCTCATAATATTTAACACAACTTCTAGTTTTAATAAATGCCCGATATTTTCATTTAATAATAATTTGTTATATCAAAAAATTTATTATATAATATTTGCAAAAATCTTAAAGTATAGAAATTAATGTTATAACTTTTTAAATTTGAAATGTTAAAATCAATCTGTTCCTAAATAAATTATTAATAGATTAAGTATAAGTAATATATAAAATTTAAATTTGAATCATCAATCGTATACAATAACCAATGAACAAGATAATACTTGAATTTTATTTTAAACAAATTTTCTTTATTAAAAAATATATCATATATACTCTAATAAATTATAGTTGTTCTTGAATTGAATGAAAAAATAAAAAAGATCATGATGTTTTATTCAGTGTTAGATACAATGAATATCAAGATGAATGAATAGCAAGAATTTTTATGCTCACCCTACATAATTTCACACATAGTACAGATGTTTTATGGAATGTTAAAATTTTAAAGTATATTTATATAACATACAACTCAATTAAAATAATGTATGTAATGTAAATCATAAAAGAATATTATAATTACATTTTAAATAATACATTTTACGTTTAATAATTGTTCATATTTAGTTTTATATTTTTCCACCTTTGTTGTATTTTTTTTATTTCTTTGTGAAAGCATATGCAGATATTTTTAATACTCAGTAATATTTTGAATTCTTAGAATATAAATATTCCAATAGATATAATATGTCAACACAAAATATTATTTATATAATATATACTAATTACTTTATGGAATAATGCTAAATGCTTAATTATTTAAAAAATTTCACTTTAAATACATCAAATATATTAAATATCATTAATATAAATTGTATAATTAAATATAAATCTGAAAATTAAATAATGTTGTATACATTGATAAAAATCTATATTCATTTTTTTTATACTCAGAATATACATAATCATAAATGATTCGTCGCCAACATCATTAAAAATTTACATCTTAACTCAAAAATGAAATGAAACCTAATGCCAAAAACTAAAATGAAAAAGCAATTTCAAATTATTTATAAAGACAAGTGAGCCAGAAAAAAAGGTCCTCGATGTATGAGGTGTACATATTTGTCCATGCGGCAGTTGTTTAGCAACATGTTATCTATACATTGGTACTGCAAAAAAGGTATTTACCCTTCGTACTGCATCATATTCCACTATTACATCTTACTTGTATATTTATGGGATATTTATAATACTCGCGAACACGTAGAAATAGTGAATATCATTTAAATGGATAAATAAAGATTTTTATTATTTCAAGTAATATATTTAGTTTTTAAATACTAATAATATTTAAAGATAAATTTTATTAATGAGTAGTATTTAATATAAACAATAGTTTATTTTTTCTTCATTAATTGCAAAATTACAATATTAATTTTATATAAGCATTAAAAATGTTTTATTTATTACAAGATGATGATTTATAGTATTGCAAATGACGACTATTTTTAAAATAGCTATGATTGCATTTAAAATAAATAATTTGTTTTAAATTAAATTAACTTGTCGTGGATAATAGTATTTATTATTATATCAACCTTTAATTAATATTAAACACTTCAACATTTTTCAAATTGTTCAAAACACAATAATGTCACTTCATTTTATATCCTGTAAAATTAATCGAAGAACATTATTGTTATTTACGTTTTTAAACTGTTTTAACTTTTTATTAACTTTTTATTTTATTTACACAGATGTTATGCTTTTAAGCTATCTTACTAGAGCTATTAATATTATTCTTCAATTTCCTATAGATTTAATTACTTTATTTTGATTTGATGTTTTATATTTTATAGCTGTTATTTAATTAATAAATAAAATATCAAATTCTATTTTTAAAAATTTTTTTAATTTATAAAAATTTATTTTTTAATTTCTTAAATTATTTAATATTAAATCTATTAAAAATAATAAATCTATCATTAATATAAGAATAGTAACAATAGTTTTTATAATTACAAAGTATTATAAACTAACGAATATAATTAAAAATTACAATTTCTTACAGATTATTGTAGCTAAAATATTCATAGGCTACAGAATAATATTTTTAAAAACATTTATACAAAAAAATTTTAAACTGTTTAGGAAATAATATTGAATACATTTCTATTTTATACATTATTATTTTCTACTACTCAAAATGTCTTGAAAGAAAAAACTTTGAATTCAATTTTTTATACAACTTTAATAAAATCATTTTTATTATCAACCAAATCATTTTTTAAATACATAAATATTAAAAAACTAATTAGTAATATAATAATATTTTATTCACTATTTTATTCACCGACATCTTAAATATGTAAATTATTTCATATTTTGTATTAAATATCTAAATTGTATAATTTATTATTTATTTATTACATAATTTTTAAACAAACAATGATAATTGAAACTTTTTACAATTACCTGCGTGAGGTATATATAATAAATACGAGAAATTCAAACTAAATCAATATTCATTGACCTAGAAACTATGTAAATTAAGTGACCTTGCTTTTTTATTACGCACTAATGATAAATTGAAGTTGATAAAAATTGTTTTGGTTAACATTAAGTTCTGTAACTGTTTATTTTCTTTATTGACATACTCTTGTAGTTTGGAGAAAAGAAATTAAAAATTTCTCTAGTCTGAGATAATTTTGTATCCTTAATATATTGCAATAACTTCTACAATAAAATTTTTTTTTAAATAATTATACTATTTTACATTTGATTTTATGTATGTAGAATATACAAAAAAAACTAATAGCAAATATGTATTATTTAGGTAATCGTATAAGATATCTAAGAGAAACAGATACCAAATACAAAAGAATATATGTGAGATATGTTTTATTTTTTCATTTTTATTACCCGTTTTATTTTTTTCTTTGCCTCTCTTTTAATAGGATTAACTGCTTCCAAGTTCGAAGCGTATGCATATGTAAGAGAGCAAGAAGTTTGCCCTTAAATAGTCTCCCAGGAGCAAACGTTGGCCCGCCCAGTAGAATTTTCAAGATAGGATCTTTCTTTTTCTTATATGAACGACGTAGACCTCCTTGCAGGTCAAAGGTGTTTCTTTTCTCTCTCCTGATCTCTTACGTCCTAAAACATTCGACTACGTGTATCTCTATGTGTGCGCAGCAGACAGCGTTCAGGAAAGAGCGAAAGCCCCCTTGACCGTCTTTCTTTCTCTTTCTTACGCTACCTTAGCCTCCATGTTTTATCTTGACTGCAACATCTTTTATTTCAGTCTAGGGACAACGAAAGTGCACGAAGAGGAGAAAAGGGATATGAAAAAAGATTACTGGATAAAAGAGGATAAAATGGCGAAGTGAAATAAATGGACAGTCTTAAAATATTTTCAATTAGTTTGAAATAAATACCTACTTTTCGTTAAAAGAAAAGGGTCATTTCACCTTATTTAATATTATATAATACAATTTTCTATTTTTTGATGAATTCATTTTAATTCAACGAAATATTCGAAGATTTTTGTAGAATACACAATAAACTATGTACATCCTCTTAAAACTGATGATAAATTTTAAGAAATATTAGTAATATTATTATATAACAATTTCCTTAATAAAAATATCTTTTGTACAATAATATCCTGTCCGATATAAAACTACTATCGACACTGTGGATAATTGAACTAAATTTAAAACACAAATTTTTATTAACATGCAAACAAGACTTTTAATACTTTTGTTGAAAAAATTAACACCTTTAAATTGATGAGATTAAATTGCGAATGTTTATATATATATATATATATATATGCGTGCGTATGTGTGTGCGCGCGCGCGTATATATATATATATATATATATATATATATATTATCGATATACATATTTAGTTATATTCTCATTATTTAATATTAATAAATTAATTCAATGAACAATATTTTATGGGTCAATCTAAAATTCATTTTTTAATGTCAAATATGAAATTTATATCGAGCTATCTATTGGAAATTGCAATATGAGTTTTAAGGGAATTTAATATTACAATTCTTTATAATTTTTCAATAATTTTAATAATTCAATATGCTGAATATTTTTAAACGAAATTTAAATTTCTGTTATTTTATAAATATGTCATAAATTTTTTTCAATGATTATTTTAATTCGCATTAGTATTAATAAATAATAGTAATTAATAAATATTAATATATTTTTCATTGTTATATTTCAGTGGATTTATAAACATTGGATACTAAGCGCTCGATTTACT